CCCATTGCTGTTCTGTTCATCAGACTACTGAAGGCCTAAATGGGCCAATATTCCCCAGATGTGAAAAATGAGATTTTTCTCTCATAGATGTGTCATATTCACTTTAGGAGCTCATACACTTTCCTTTCTCTATGCCACAGCTCACTGCTTTCTCTTCAGTAATCCACCCTGACAAACAGAAAGAGGTACAAGACACAGAGATTGTTTTTCCTCAAGCCTTTTGAATTCCACAAATCCTGAAAGAGACGTTCTATAAATCATTTCACTGATGTAAACAGACTCCAACAGAGTCATTTCACAGACGTATGGAGAGAAACAAGACAATCAGAGGAACGTTTCAGAGCATAGGATGTTGTTATGTATCGTTTAGGCACTAATATAATAATTGTTATATTCAATAACGATTTTCCCTGTAAAAACATTAGCAGGAATATTTTTTGTTATCAGCAAGGCTACATTTATTTGATCAAAAATACAGTAAAAACAACAATATTCTGAAATAATATTTAGTATTATAATATTTTATTGATATTTATTAATATTACTATTATTATTGTCACAATTATGTTCAGTTTGCTTTCATCACGTGTTCCTTTGTTTGAGTTCCACGCCAATCATCTGTTTCCATGGACACAAACCAGTCATCACAGCTGATCATCATTTAGTTTGTCACCACCATGTATTTAGTTCCTCCATATTGACTCTGTAGTCAATAGTTCCTCCGGGACTTTGACGATGAGGCCCTTAAGTCACTGTTCTGGATCGGGGCTAATTATCATCACCTCGTGGACCTCCCAGGCACCTCTGGATTTAACTTGAGGGATGCTATCATCCCGTGTCTGGAGAGAATTTACCCCCAGTCCAGAACACAGCCAGACCCAAAACCTGTTTCACCACCATCGACCACAGAGGAATCGTGTGAGCCCCCCACAGATGGAGAGCAACCATCCGCTGCAACGCGTCAGCCAGTGCCGGAAGATAAGAGGTCAGCACAGACCCTCGCCCCGGAAGAGGAGCTCCCCAGTGTGTCTGACCAGGGGTGTGAGCCCACAACATCAGTGGCCGAGGGTATATTGGTGGAAATTTAGACTGTGGACTGGCTGATGGATTTCAGCGCGGAGTCTCCCACCATATCCCATATTTCATCGCTATTTTTAGACAGCACTATGGACTGTATGAACTCTTTATCTGCTTCCTCTGAACCGTCATCGCTGTTTTTAGACAGCACAGACACTTGCATGGTCTGTGCAATCACAATCAGTGCCTTAGCGGGTGGATCCGGTGGCTCCTCTGGCCTCTGATCACTTCGCTCTGTCTCGGCCCATCAACCTGTCGGCTCTGCCTTGGCTCCTCCCACCTTCAGCTCCACCAGACACCCTCGGTCTTACGGCTCCACCTGGTTCCCTCATCCCACCGGCGCCCCCTTGGTCAGTCGTCACTCTACCTCTGCCACGGTGTTGTGGATCTTCCGCTACGCTCTGTTCCTCCACCCCTCCGGCTGCAGCGGGCTTCTCGTTCCCTTCGTGTATGCCTCGGTCCTCCATCACACCGGCATCACCTCAGGCCTCGGGAAGTCTGGCTTCACCACAGACTATCGTCACCGTGATATCGCCTAGGCCTCATGTGCTTCCTGTCGCTCTGCTCCATCAACGCTTCGTCTGTGCATTGGGATCTAACGGCTCCACCTCTGTCGGTCATGCCCCTGTCGACATCAGCTTCCATGCTACCCTGGCTCCTTCCTCCCTCATCTCCACCGTGGGCTGTCATCTCTGGGATCTGGGTCTATGCCATTGGACATCCACCATCATCGTCGGCGGGGTCTAGTCGTCGTTTGTCTGGCACCCCTCCTCCGTTGCTGCTGACAACCTTTCCTTCACCGTCCCCTGTTACCATCCCTGCTCCACTCCTTCATCCACCACCAAAGCCCCCTCCGTCCCTCCCTTTGATATGATGATTTGTTACGGCACGAGGTCGCGTCTGGCCAGAGGGGGGAGTACTGTCACAGTTCTGTTCAGTTTGCCTTAGTTTTCATGGACACTTAATTTGTTTTCATTCATCACATGTGTTCCATGTGTGGATGTTTACACACTGTTATGCCTTATTGCCTGCTTGTGGATTAAACTCTTTAAAAAAAAAAAAAAAGGATTTTTTAACCTGCCTTTTGTCTGCCTTCATCATCTGGTGACAATTATAATAACACTTTTTAGTTTATTTTTTAATTAATACAAAATTCTTGAAATTATATATTATTCTCTCTCTGAGAAATATTTTATGCTCACCAAGGCTCCATTTATTTAATAAAAAATAATATTGTGTCAAGATTCTTTGATAAATATAAAGTTCAGATGTATATCTGTACTGTCACTTTTTTTAATCAATTTAATGAATCCTTGCTGAGCATCAGTTCCTTTTCTTACAAAGCAGTGTGTGTATACATATACATAATGAGATAATTATAATTCTTTTTTATAAGAATTATGTATATATAATTTTACTGATTTTGTATTAATTAAAATAATTAAAAATGGGTGTTATAATATTAATGTTAAAATAATTAAAATATTAATTAAATATTAATAATTGTTAATTAAAATGATTACAATTTCTCAAGATAGTGTAAGTTACAAAATCTACCAGCAGGGCCTAACAGGGTCATGTTAACCAGCCAGACTTTGACCCCTTGGTTTCTCCACACAAAATCAGCCTGTCTGGTACTTTGATAGCTGCATCATCTCATGCTGAGATCAAATGATCATAAACCCTTGCATGGGACATCCATTTACTGCAATAATATTTACTCTGTTAACTACACCTATGTGCATTCAACCTAAAATCCAATGCAACTATTTGCACAGTCAGAAGGTACAGTATTTCACTATTGCAGAGTCATCGTGAGTTTGATATTTCTGTCTGAAATAAAGATTCCTTCTCTTATGTTTTTAGGGCTACAACATATAAAAACAAGATAAGTTTGGCCTGCTGTGTTGCTACCGGCTCAAAATTCTGCAAAGTGTTTTGGTTTCTTCCTGTTTCTGTTCGGATCACTGAAATAAAACATGCAGTTCTAGTTCAGTGTTTGCTCTAGTTCTGGTAGCATAAGGCCTGAAAAATTTCCTCTGAGAAAGCAAAATATTTATGTTTAGTCCAATTCTACAAGCCCACTTTACAGATTCACTCTCAAAACTAATTACCACTTGGACCTTGTAAAAACAAACCTGTCACAACTGACAGATTTTCTGTTGTTTTTACGTGTCATTCAAGAGTAGGTTTTTCTTAAAAAGTTAATACCACAATAATAGATCACAATGGAAGATATTTATTCAAATAATTGCATAGTGTCATCATACAGGAATGGCTGTAAAGAAAACTGGTGGAAATGTGTGCAGAATCAGAATCTCTGTCTGTCCAAAAGTACTTAGGGATCATTGATATAACTAAAAATAGCATGAACACACAATTCAGAAGGTCAGTGAACAAAGTGGGGGTGAACCATGGTCATACGTTTTGAAGCACAGACTAGCGCTGCAGTAGTCTTGTTAAAAAGCCTGTATTACATTGAGACGGCCACATAAAACGATCTGCAATGTGCCACACAAACGGTGAGTTCTCAGAATCAACCATGATACGATCAGCATGTGTTTAAATCTGTTAGTGATCTTGTTTGCCAGTTGTATGTGTAATTTAATTTGTTAAATGAGTAATTAGGTATTGCGGATCTTCGATTCAGAGCTCTTTAATCTCTCTGAGAAATATTTTATGCTCACCAAGGCTCCATTTATTTAATAAAAAATAATATTGTGTCAAGATTCTTTGATAAATATAAAGTTCAGATGTATATCTGTACTGTCACTTTTTTTAATCAATTTAATGAATCCTTGCTGAGCATCAGTTCCTTTTCTTACAAAGCAGTGTGTGTATACATATACATAATGAGATAATTATAATTCTTTTTTATAAGAATTATGTATATATAATTTTACTGATTTTGTATTAATTAAAATAATAAAAAATGGGTGTTATAATATTAATGTTAAAATAATTAAAATATTAATTAAATATTAATAATTGTTAATTAAAATGATTACAATTTCTCAAGATAGTGTAAGTTACAAAATCTACCAGCAGGGCCTAACAGGGTCATGTTAACCAGCCAGACTTTGACCCCTTGGTTTCTCCACACAAAATCAGCCTGTCTGGTACTTTGATAGCTGCATCATCTCATGCTGAGATCAAATGATCATAAACCCTTGCATGGGACATCCATTTACTGCAATAATATTTACTCTGTTAACTACACCTATGTGCATTCAACCTAAAATCCAATGCAACTATTTGCACAGTCAGAAGGTACAGTATTTCACTATTGCAGAGTCATCGTGAGTTTGATATTTCTGTCTGAAATAAAGATTCCTTCTCTTATGTTTTTAGGGCTACAACATATAAAAACAAGATAAGTTTGGCCTGCTGTGTTGCTACCGGCTCAAAATTCTGCAAAGTGTTTTGGTTTCTTCCTGTTTCTGTTCGGATCACTGAAATAAAACATGCAGTTCTAGTTCAGTGTTTGCTCTAGTTCTGGTAGCATAAGGCCTGAAAAATTTCCTCTGAGAAAGCAAAATATTTATGTTTAGTCCAATTCTACAAGCCCACTTTACAGATTCACTCTCAAAACTAATTACCACTTGGACCTTGTAAAAACAAACCTGTCACAACTGACAGATTTTCTGTTGTTTTTACGTGTCATTCAAGAGTAGGTTTTTCTTAAAAAGTTAATACCACAATAATAGATCACAATGGAAGATATTTATTCAAATAATTGCATAGTGTCATCATACAGGAATGGCTGTAAAGAAAACTGGTGGAAATGTGTGCAGAATCAGAATCTCTGTCTGTCCAAAAGTACTTAGGGATCATTGATATAACTAAAAATAGCATGAACACACAATTCAGAAGGTCAGTGAACAAAGTGGGGGTGAACCATGGTCATACGTTTTGAAGCACAGACTAGCGCTGCAGTAGTCTTGTTAAAAAGCCTGTATTACATTGAGACGGCCACATAAAACGATCTGCAATGTGCCACACAAACGGTGAGTTCTCAGAATCAACCATGATACGATCAGCATGTGTTTAAATCTGTTAGTGATCTTGTTTGCCAGTTGTATGTGTAATTTAATTTGTTAAATGAGTAATTAGGTATTGCGGATCTTCGATTCAGAGCTCTTTAATCTCTCAGTAATCTGTCTTTCTTATCGTTGACAGAAGAACCAGTCCAGTTAAGCCGGACCACATCAATTACCAAGATAAAATTTCATTTCAGTGAGTTCATTTGTCTTAATTAACAAACAGTTAACAGAGAAAAAAAGAGGATGGAAAAGTCGACCATGAATATTACATGAATACAAAAAAAATCAGCTTGCATAAGTTTACATACATTTTTTTAAAATGTCATAAACTAGCAGCAATCACAACAAAACAGTCACTGATGAATAATGAATGTGTGATTTTTTTTCAATCTGTTCTGACATTGACAACACCATGGGCAATGGCACTATTGGCACTTTTCCACTGCATGGTACGGCTCGGTACGGCTCACTTTTGGGGGGTTTTCCACTGTGTATAGTACCTAGTATCTGGAACGTTTTTTTTAGTACCACCTCGGTTGAGGTTCCAAGCGAGCCGTCCAGATACTAAAATGGGATGTGTAAACACTGCAGATAACTGATTGGTCAGATAGAATCGTCACTACCAACGTCATTGGATTTGAGACACCAGACACCAAACCCACTAGATATAAATAGTCAGCAACAGCCATCCTAGTAACATTTGTTTGCACAACTTTTTTTAAATGACTTGCTTTAAACGACCATCGCACGCAACTTGAAAAAAGAAATAGCTGTATCCTGGTCAGCAGACGAGGTGGCAGCAGAACTATAAAGATCAGACTATAATCCCAACCCCTCCTATGGATTTGAAACCAATAATTTGTTCCTATGTTAATAACAAATGGCAAACAGAGTGGGATCTATATAGGCAAGGCAAGGCAAGTTTATTTATATAGCACATTTCATACACAATGGTAATTCAAAGTGCTTTACATAAAATAAAATAAAAACAGTAATCACAACAATAAAACAAGGAATTTAAAAACTTTGAAAATTATAAAAAAAAAAAAAAAAGAAAAAAAAAAAAAAAGAAATTTGATTTAAGAGGTTTAAAATGAATTTAAGAAAACGATTATACATATAATATAGTGCAATCAGTTCGGACATCGCACAGTGCTCATTCAATAAATGCACAGCTAAACAGATGAGTTTTGAGTCTGCATTTAAATGTGACTAATGAATATACAATGAATAAACTCTATGAAATTAAGCCCATAGTTGGAAAAAGACATTTCTATCAAGTTTCTAACCGATGGGACCAGTTTGTTTATACCTGCTGCAGAATAGATTCCAGGATGACACAGGAGTCAGCTGCAGGAATGCTAATTACTACACTTTAGACAGTTAATAATGCCAATTATTTACATATTTTCATTGTTTCTCACTGAAGCATAAATACAAAGGATATTCTCATGATTCTAAAGAATCACAAATGTTTAAATGCGCAACTTTCTTGAAGTCTATGCATAAAATGTCCCTACATGACAGTTGTCATTGAATTAGATTTCATTTTATACACTGTAATGTCCACCCAGTTGGCCCACTGAAGATATCTAATGGTGGCTGAAGGTTTTCTGCACATTCGGTCTTTTTGGTGAGCAAAGTTTTTCATTTCAATTCTAATCTGACTCTCCATGCTACCCTGGCTCCTTCCTCCCTCATCTCCACCGTGGGCTGTCATCTCTGGGATCTGGGTCTATGCCATTGGACATCCACCATCATCGTCGACGGGGTCTAGTCGTCGTTTGTCTGGCACCCCTCCTCCGTTGCTGCTGACAACCTTTCCTTCACCGTCCCCTGTAACCATCCTTGCTCCACTCCTTCATCCACCACCAAAGCCCCCTCCGTCCCTCCCTTTGATATTTTGTTACGCACGAGGTCGCGTCTGGCCAGAGGGGGGAGTACTGTCACAGTTCTGTTCAGTTTGCCTTAGTTTTCATGGGCACTTAATTTGTTTTCATTCATCACATGTGTTCCATGTGTGGATGTTTACACACTGTTATGCCTTATTGCCTGCTTGTGGATTAAACTCTTTAAAAAAAAAAAAAAAAAAAAAAAAAAAAAGGATTTTTTAACCTGCCTTTTGTCTGCCTTCATCATCTGGTGACAATTATAATAACACTTTAACACTTTTTTTTTAATTAATACAAAATTCTTGAAATTATATATTATTCTCTCTCTGATAAATATTTTATGCTCACCAAGTCTCCATTTATTTAATAAAAAATAATATTGTGTCAAGATTCTTTGATAAATATAAAGTTCAGATGTATATCTGTACTGTCACTTTTTTTAATCAATTTAATGAATCCTTGCTGAGCATCAGTTCCTTTTCTTACAAAGCAGTGTGTGTATACATATACATAATGAGATAATTATAATTCTTTTTTATAAGAATTATGTATATATAATTTTACTGATTTTGTATTAATTAAAATAATAAAAAATGGGTGTTATAATATTAATGTTAAAATAATTAAAATATTAATTAAATATTAATAATTGTTAATTAAAATGATTACAATTTCTCCAGATAGTGTAAGTTACAAAATCTACCAGAAGGGCCTAACAGGGTCATGTTAACCAGCCAGACTTTGACCCCTTGGTTTCTCCACACAAAATGCAAACTGGTCGTTTGTCCATTTCTAAACATTATCCTGACACTTGATTATTCTAGTTAACTCTTAGTTAACTATTTGTTCTTATTGTACTCATTCATTTGGATTCTGGCACCAGCCTCACGGTCACATACTCATCAGTCTTGTTCATTAGACAGAGGTAATTGACTAATACTTTTAGATGGCCGCTTCTATGCTTGCTCGTTCTAAAAGTACTTTTGTTTAGTCCCCATAGATGAACAACACTCAGATAACCTAAACAGAAATTCCCTTTTAGCCCTTATAGTCTAAGTACACTTGAACTAATACCAAGTGTTAGCCGGATCTCTAAAGATCCAGTTGGTGTGCCCTATGCTCTATTTCAACTGGATTTTAGTCTGTTAACCTGATGCAGAAATGTGGTAATAAAAATACAACATAATCTACTAGTCAATAATTTCAGAGTAAACGGAATCAATTCAAATATAACAATTTATTATCAGCCAGGTATATATGCATTATGGCAATTACATAGTCAATTCAGAGATATTATACCAAATAGATACAAGACATCAAATTCTCAAAGATAAATCTAAGAGCAAAGGATGCATACCTGATTTAAGAAAGATACATAGCATGGAGTGTGTGTTTGCACACTCTTCACCGCGGTCTCATTTGGCTACAGAAGCGCCCTGATCCTCTTGCAACTTTCACTTAAGTGCTCAGACCAGGACAAATATCCTCAGAATGGAGGCAGGAACTAACAATTGGAATTTGCATTGATCAAGTCCTAGACATATGGAGAGTTTACACTTTTTGAGGGCATAGTAATTTGCATGAAAGTCACTGGGAAAGGGCACACTCACATCTTCATTATCTTTCAGTTTACTCCTTGTATAATTGAGACCATTGTAGCAGTCGCACTGAGACATTTTAAATGATACCAAACATGACTGTGAATATCACTTACATTCATGTAGAACATTATATTTTGGTATTGGCCATTCTGAGTGAGATGAGTGATGGGAGGGATGGGTGAAGGGAAGGAAATTGTGGGAAAGGTACAAATGTATTGGTGAGAAAGAAGATTTCATGCATCTTCTCTCAGTGAGATGTGGAAACAGATGCCTGTAATACAAATACAAAGTGTCTGAGGTTCTACCAGCCTTACAACACGTTATAAAGACAGCACATAATAATGGAGCTGAGTCCAGAGTGATGCTATGGGTCAGCATGTGTGCAATCCGGACATAATGAGTATGAGGGGGAAAATAAAACGTCCAATAAGCAGTCCCTGTTCAAGCCATGAAACAAACCAAAACCTTTAAAAAATGCCTAAAAAACCTAAAACATGTAGTATGAGGTGGAAAATAGAGAGTAAACGATATAGACAAAACAAAAGATACACAGCACCAATTAAATGCATCCAGGCAAACAACTGAAATGTTAGCAAAAGCTAAGCTGAATAGAGTCGAGTGCACCTGTGAGAATGTGATCTATCGTGCGACCTAAAATATTATTTTTCATATTTAAGTTGCGTAATATCTCAAACGCTGTGCTGGAAATAACCCATTTAACCCAGATAAACTACTTTAAAATAAAAGATCTATCATCACTTACCATCCATATGTTGCTAAAACACTGATTCTTCCCTCATCAAAAAACAAAACAAAACAAAACAAAAATAAACATAAGGAGTTATTATAAAAATATCAAAGCTGTTGTCTTTTCCATTCAAATAAAAACTGTGTGCTGTCAAGTAAAGTAGCAGTTTTGCTTGATTTATTAAAAAAAGAACAATCTATGAATAAATGATATAAAATATAAGATATTTTTAATAATAATAATAATAATAATAATAATAATAATAATAATATAGATGTCACAGAGTCACCAGCAACGCCATATCCTTCAGCTACACCCAGGGCTGGATTGGGATAAAAATCAGCCCAGGCATTTTTTGGTCCAGGCGGCCCACCACCATTTATTATATGTGACCCTGGACCACAAAACCAGTCTTAAGTCACTTTAGCAATAGCCAAAATAGCCAAACATGATATACACAACCAGTCAAAAGTTTTTGAACAGTAACATTTTTAATGCTTTTTAAAGAAGTCTCTTCTGCTCACCAAGCCTGCATTTATTTGATCCAAAATACAGCAAAATGTAAATATTTTTACTATTTTAAAATAACTGTTTTCTATTTGAATATATTTAAAATTTTAATTTAATTTAATTTTTTTAGCATCATTACTCCAGTCGCATGATCCTTCAGAAATCATTCAAATATTCTGATTTGCTGCTATATATATATACACATATATATATATATATATATA